TAGCATTATACTAAGGCTAGTGATATATATAGTTTTTCTATGATTATGTGGGAATTTATATCAGAAGTTTCTCCATTTAATAATGAAGCTCATAATTTTCAACTTAGTTTAGATATTTGTAAAGATAAACGACCTAAAATTATTGAAAATTCTCCTAAATGTTATATAAATTTAATGAAAAAATATTGGGATATGGATTTATTAAAAAGCTCAACTGTATTAGAAATTAAAAAAATTATTGAAAAATAGTATAATAATATTATTGATAAAAATTATAATAAAAAATTAAAAGATGATATTATAGATTTTTATAAAGCAAATAAAGCATTAAACAAAAATCAAAATAAAAATTTAAATGATACCAAAGATCATTCACAAATATTTTATACAAGTCGTTTACTTGATTTTACTGCAAAATTAAATGAAATTTTAGAACTTGAAATACCAAGTTTAAAAATTAGTCAAAGTATTGGTAATTATTATAATATTTATAAATTATTTATAATCTAATAATTTCTTTAATTTAACATAAAAACTTATATGCTTGAATTTTCAGTGACTTCAATTGAAAACAAAATATTAACATTTTTTTGTTTATATATATATTTAATTAATAGAAGCTTTAAATATTATAAATGATGAAATAAGTAAGTAATTTAAATATAAAATTAAAAATATATATATTAATTTATTTATATTAATTTATTTTTATAATAGATAAAAATAAATAAAATTTATTAAATATATTTTATTTTTTTTATAACTATTATATTATTATAATTTTTATAAAATATTTATTTAGTAACACTATATAGAATAAATATTATAAAAATATAGTTTGTAATTACTCAAATAAACTTTTATATATAAATAAATTATAATAATTAAATTAATTAAAATATAAATTATTAAATTAATTTTTAAATATATAATTAAGATTAATAATTAATATAAATTAATTAAATTAATTATAAAATAAAATAAATAAAAAAAAAATTAAAAAAAATTATAATAATATTTATTAATTTTTTTTATTTTGTATTATTAATAATAATAAATATTACTAAATTATATATTAATATATATAATATAATTTAAAAATATATCAATATTTATGTTAATCATATAATATAATATTTGATTTAAATTTTCTAATTTTCTTTACATTATATTTTATAATTTTAATTAACATAATATTTATATACTGTAATTATTTATTATTATGATATTAATAATCTTTACTATAAATATTTAATTAAAACTTATTTATTTTACTATAATTGAATTATTTTAAATAATTATAATCATTTTTTTTGTTAAAAAAAAATATTAATATTAGCTTTTTAACTATATTTCAAATAAATGAAAGATTATTAAACAAATATATTTCTTATTTTTAATATTTATAATTTTATTAATAATTATTATTTTAGACTAGCTATTAGACTTGAGTCAAAAAAATTAACTTAAGTTAAGTAGTATCAAGATTTTTTTGATTAGAAGAGTATTTAAATCAAAATTTAAGTTATAATTTAAGTATAAGATTTGAAAATATAGCTTAAATTAGCATTTAACTACTGATCATTAGATTTAATTTCATTATTTTAAGAAAAACTTAATAATTAATTTTACTTATTAGAATTTATAATCTTAAGATATTCTCTAAGTTTTACAAGTATTTATTATTCTTGAATTAATTTAGTAATTTATATATCTTAAAATATATATAAGAGTTATAAGAACTTAATAATAGTAATTTAATCCTACTATATATTAAATTACATGAAATATTTTTAAAAATTTTTTAAAAATTTTTATGTAATTTGATGCATAATAAGGTTAAATTATTATTAGTAAGTTTTTATAGCCCTCACACATCTTAATATTTATTTAGTTAAATATAATAATCTTAATGTATTATATTCAAATCTTATATGAAGAATAATATTAAAAAGAGAATCAATTTTGAATGATTTTTTTATTAATACTTAAAATTTATAAAAGAGTTATGAAACTTATAAAAAATTTTAAGATTTATAAAGAAATTAATTTGCAACTTAAATAAAAGCTATTCTATTTATATAAAATTAATTTATTATAATTAATTACTTGATATACTATAAATAAATATTCAAAATAACCTGGTTATTTGATTATTTAAATAATTTATTTAATTTTTTGTTAAAATTTTAAACTATTTGATATTTATCATATTATAAATAATTTAAAATCTAAATACCTAGATGATTACATATCATTTGACTGTTATTTAAATCTTTTGTTATTTAGTTATTTAATAATAGATTTAGTTTATTTAATGCAAATTATTTTAAAGTTAACCTATTATATACTAATATTATATATTAATTTAAGGATAAATATATATCAATTATGTATTATTATTATCTAAACACAATCAAAATTTATGTATATAATAATCTAATATTTTTAAAATTCTAAATGTTTAAGTTGAGTTAAGTTTAAGAATCAACGCTATTTAATCATTTTTTGAGTTAAGTTAAGCAAACTTTGAAATATAGAGGTAAATTTTATGAAGAAAGAAAAGAGAAGCAGTGAGATTTTATTAAAAAAGTAAAAAAAAAATAAATAATTAATATTTGCTTTTTTATAGATATTGGAGTTCTTTAAGTCTTGAAATTAGAGGTAAATTCTTATAAAGAAAGAGAAAGATATAAGATTTTTTTAAAAAATAAAAAAAAATAATAATTACCTTTTTGTAAGTTCTAAAATTATTCAAGTCTTAGAATTTAAAGATAAGTTCCTATAAAGAAAGGAAAAAATATGAGTTTTTTTTAAAAATAATAAATAAGAAAAATAATTATCTAATACTTATCTTTTTATAAATATTGGAATTATATAAGCCTTAAAATCAAAGGTAAGTTTTTAATAAAAGAAGAAAGGGTATAAAATTCTTTTTTAAAAATACTAATAATTATCTTTTTGTAGATTCTGAAGTTCTTTAAGCTTTAAAGTCAGAAGTAAGTTTTTATAAAAGAAAGGAGAGTATAAGATATTTTTTTTTAAAAAAAATAAAAAAAAATAAATAATTACTTTTTTATAAATTTTAAAGTTTATTAAGCCTTAAAATTTAAAGTAAATTCCTATAAAAGAAGAGTTTCTTTTAAAAATTATTTTATTAAATATTGTATATATAAATTTATATTTTTTTTAAAGTTTAATTTTATATATTAATTAAATGACTAAAATAATTTATCATTTAAGTAACAAAATGATAAATAACAAATAATATGTCATTTGAATTAATTATCATTTTAAGTCTTTTATCAAATATTACTATAAATTAATTAATTAGATTCATAGTCATAGCCAGTCTAGGGGTTTAATTAATTATTTTATCCTTTTCACTATGAATTTATTTATTTTTATTAAAAAAATAACTTCTTATTGTTATAAAGAGACGCTTCTGAAAATTTAGTTTTGAGCTAAAATCAACCTCTAGAATGTAAATGAAATATAAATTTACTACTTGATTGGTTATTTTTGATAAGCAAAAAATTTTTTCACTACGTACGTTATATTATTATCAACTGTATTATATAGTTATTGAAATTTATAATAATTATCACTATATTTTATTATTAAATCGCTAGAGATGATACAATAAAATAAAATCTATATACTATAATCATCAATCTTACCAAAAATATTTTTATCAATTAGAAGAAACATTGGAGTCAAAAGCATTTCTATGAAAGTTAATGAAAAATAAAGAAATTAGAAAAGGATTCAAGAGCGGTTATTAATTGGGACATATGAAGTAAATGAAGAAATTTTATAGCTTTCAAATAAAAATTAAATAGACTTGCATCATTAAAGCTATTGATATATATTCTACTTCATGTAAAATGTTTGATAAGCATGAAATTGTTAAAAATTTTAAGGAAATAACTAATGGAGAAAGAAACAGATTCATGAAGAAAATTTTATGGAAGTCTAGAAAGGGAAAATCAAGCTTTATTCTTGAAGTAGACTTGTATAAACTAAATGTAATATACAAATTATGCAATAAAAACAGAATTATTTTATATATTATAGGAAGTGTATTTTAAGTATATCATGTAGTAATATATTATAAATCTTTTTTATACTTTAAAAAATAATTGTAATTAATTATATGAGAACAAATATATAATTTACAGTATAAGAAATAAAGTAAATAAAATATCTTAGGAATCTATTGCAGCTTTTGATGACAGATAATCCAAGTTTTTTTAAAAAATAAAAAAGTATATATATCATGCTATTTTTTAAAAATATTAACAGAAGTTATCAAGTGATTATATAATTACTGCAAGAGATTATGATATTGAAAAGAATAAAGGCCATTTTACAACCCAAGTAGATATCTAATCAAAAATTTTACTTATTTTAAAAAAATAAAAATTAAGATTAATCTGGTTATCAATAATATTCTATTCAATTAAGAGATTTCTTCTATAACGATAATATTCAGATTCTCAATTTGAGATTTTTAACGCTTCACAAATTTTAAAATATTGTTGTACTATACATCCTTGAAAACAAATTTCAAGATAGTTTGATGTCTTCAGGTCATAACTCAAGCATTATTATTTTAATAAATAAAATGAAATAATATTAAACTTTTTGGTTATTGTCAATGCATTATCAATGTAAAAAATATTCAAATCAATTATTAATTAAAATCAATATATGATGTTTCTGTAAAGACTATATAATAATGATTTCTCATATAAATCTGAATGATATACAATAGTTTAATCAAGAGTTTGTAAGTCAAATTTAAAATTCAATTTAAAGCGACTTTTTTACAAAAATAAAGTCATTATTTAAATATATTTTTATTCTATTTATTTTATTTTTATTATCAACTTATTTTATAACTAAAGTTAAAGACCGTTTTGTTAATTCTAAATGTAAAATCTTAACTTATTTATTTTTTTTTTTTTGTATTTACTATTAAACTAAAATATCAATAACTTGATGGGTTAGTTACTTAACTCCTATAATATAAACAATATTTGCTAAATATTTTCTAATCTAAACAAAAAAAATTTTTTCATACCTGTCAAACCTTCAACTTTTTAATAATAAAAAAAACTGATATAAGTAATTTTAAAATAAATTTAATTTTAGTATTACTAAAAGGATTTCGTATTTAAGGTGATTGAGAGTAAATTTTCATATTAATATGCTATTAGCAATAAAGCATACCTTTCTATATAAATAAACATCTAAAAATATTTTATGATTGTGACTATTAATTAATCAGATTACTTAATCGAATAATTGGGTTCAAATAAAACTAATACAAAATAAAAAGAAAAAAATTTTTTTCTTTTTAAGTATTACACAGTATAATAATATGATTTTTGCCAAATCCATTTTATTACGCATTCCAAAGGATATATTTTTTCTATGACAAAACTTGAAAAGGTTAAAATAATTAATTTGGTAATGAACTTTATTAACTTTTGATACTGACTGGCTTATTACTACGGTAAAGATAAGCTAATAGTTTTCTTTTATTTTCTATGTGTATTGATAATTATTTTTTTTTATTTAATATTATTTTCTTATTATTTATTTAGATTTTTTACTTTGGTTAAAAACTAGATGAAACCTTTGAAATAGAACTAACTAGTTTATCACCATAATGAAGATTAAGCTAATAGTTTTCTTTTTTTTTTTATGTGTATTAATAATTTTTTTTTATTTATTTAATATATATATTTTTTAATATTTTGATATTTATTTTTTTAGATTTGATCAGTTGGCTAAGAATTAAACAGAACCTTCAATCAGAACTGACCAGTTCATCACTGTGGCTAAGGTGAGCTGACTAATTTATTTGCTTTTTCTTAGGTTCAATCAGTTGGTTAAAAATCAGACAGAAAATTTGAATAAATCTGATCAGTCTGTCATCACAGCTAAGATGAATTGACTATTTTTTTTTGATTTATTATTTTATTTCTTTTCTTATTTTGGTAATTAATTTAATTACTAATTTTATTTATTACATCTTATTTATTTGATTTAGGCAGTTTTAGGTTAGATCGAGATCAGATCATCTCTTTGTCTGAAATTATCAGATAAAACAAGATTTTCATTATCGCAGTATATGTTTTTGATGAATTCTTTTATTTATTTTAAATTTTAAATTAGTAATCATAATTATTCAGTCCTAATTTTTTTTTTAAAAAAATCATATATAAATAACTATTGTTCTTATCAATATTGATATTAATATTGAAATTGTTATTATTGATATTGATATCAATATCAATATAAATAAAAATGCTCTTTAGAGTTCCTGCATGAAGCTAATCAAATTTATACCTATTCCATCCTTTTTGAAAATGATTATAGCTTCTACTATATAAAATAAAATCACCTAATATCAACATCTATATGGAAATAGGTTATACAAAAAATATAATATATATAAGAAAAATAAAAGAAATAAAATAGAAATTAATGTTGATTACAATTTAATATAATTGAGATCATTTAATATGGGTAAATTGCTAGGAAAATCAGGTTTTGGAAATTTTTTAGCAAAATTGAAATTTTTATTGCATTTTAGTTATTGATGTAATTAGATTAAAATGTATTAAACTCTTAATTTTAGTCAAAAATTTCTCAGAACCTGATTTTCCTAGAGATACTCCCATATGTATTTTATATATTATTTATATCTATTTTATTATTTATTATATTTCTATTATAATTAAACTATATTTTATAACTTGTATATTATTTATTTAACTTAGTATTCTAAATTATTTTGTATTAAATATATTAAATAGCAATCTTTTATAATTGTAATTTTATATAAATAAGATAAAAAATTATTTTTGTAAATTATAGAGATAATAATGATAACTTATAAATAAGAGTTAAAACTTAGAATCTAAAGGTTAAAGATTGCTAAAAATACAAATTTTACAATAAAAGAATCTTTTTTCTAAACTATACATATTATTATTCTTTTGCATGTTATATTATATTGATTATCTATACTAATTATAATTATTTAAATCATTTAAATTATTATAAATCCAAGATTAATTATAATAAAACTTACTTTATAGTAATTTAGTAATTTATATATTATTTTCTATTATTAAATCATTATTATTTTAAGTTAATAGATTTAACGTAAAGTTAATATTAACGTTAAAGATAGTTTCATAATTATTTTCAAATTGTAACTTAATTATACTATAAGAAAATTTAATTACACTACAAGTTACAACTCAATTACACTATTTTTTTTTAAATTATAGCACTTATTTTTAATTAACAAATTGTTGATTTTTGCTAGAAAAATAAATTTCTAAAACATTTATCTTTAAAATATTTTAAACAATTTAAGATAATTCTAAAAGCTAAATTATAGAATTAAAATATAGAAAATTTCTAAGTTTACACAGAATGTATGTATACAGATCACATAATATATATATTTATTACTAGTGTCACACCTTTCTGCTTTTAGTTTTACTATTTATTTAGGAACTTAGAAATGTTTTAGTAAAAAATTATTATTTGTCATAAACTATCTGTCATATAGTTATTACAGATATTTTCTTAATTTCTTCATGTTGGTAAAAGTAATATTAATGTTAACTGTATCATATGATTTGTGTATAATACATCTGTATACAAATAGAAATTACCTAAAAAAATAAATTTAAAAATAAAATTATATAATATATTATGTGATATAGCATTATTTGATAAAATGTTTAAAAAAGGAATTCAAAAGAAATTTTAAAAAAAGTAAATTTTATAATTAAATTAAAATTTAATTTTTAAAATAATCATATAAAAGTAAAAGATTTTTAAATAAAACAAAAGAAAAAGATAACCCAATATAAGCTTTATTGAAACTTCACAAAATACTTTAATTAATAATGATAAAATTTAAAAATTAGTTAAAATAATAAATATTAAACAAAATAATAATATTTAATTATTTATAATTATATCAATTAATAGTAAATAATTTTGAATATCCAAAAAATAGAAATATATTATTATAAATATGATATACTAAAGAAATTATAATATTAATACAAAAATAAAGAAAAAGATTTAAAGTCTAATCTACATTATATAATTGTACTCTGTCACTAATTTTTTAAATATTCTTGTAAAATAATGAATTAAAACAAAAGTTCAAATATGAATAAAGTTGCTTATCTAAACTTATTTTAGATTTGATAAAATATATAAACTTTAGTTTTGCTAATTTTTTACTAAAGATTTAATATAGTTTTGCATTTTTATAAGCTTAGATATAATTTTATCTTTCTAGGATTTCATAGATTTTTTAATAAGATTTTGCTAAATTTTATATTTTTCATTTAAATAATTTATAAAACTTTTAGGTTTTGTTTAGCAATCTTAAATATAAATTCTCATAATATATTAATTAGTATTTATTAAAATAATATTTATATATTTGTCAAGTTAAAAGCATTATGATGATATATATTTCATTTTAAATAAACATTTAATTAATGAAATATTATTTAATTTAATTTTTATTTTTATATATATATTATTATTATTATTAAATTATTATAAAATATTTTTAGTTTTAATTTTTTGAGTATCATAAAAAAATCTTTTACTAAGTTTAAGTAAAAGTGAGAGTTTTGGTTTTTTCATTATTTTATAGAATAATGAAGAATTATGAAAAAGTCTTAATAATAAATGATTATAAATTTCAAATATTAGTAAGAGGAAAACTTCTTAAGGTTGTAAATTCTAAGAAGTAGAATTATTATACTAAGGAATTAAAGAAACAGTTTATCATTTAGTATGTAAATAAAGTAAAAATATTAGTTTAAAATATCTTAGATAAGATATTCTGCTAAAAAATCTAGAAAAAACAAAATAGATTATTATTATTTAAAAGTTAATTATTAGATTATATAAGTATTTATAATAATATCTTTAATATTTGAAAAATAATTTTAAAACTTCAAATGAAATTTTAATTATATAAAATGATAATATATGACAAATGATAAAAATAAAATTGTAATTATATAAAAAAAAAAATTATAAGTATAAAAACAAAAATGTTAATAATATGATCAGCTTTTAAACCATATTGAAAAAGTAAAGGCAAAATGCAACAGTATGCAGATTTTATTGAATAATTAAGAAAATACAAAAAATTTAAAAATATAAAAATAAAATATAATTCAGTTTAATTATTTAATGCTATTAATACTAGAATAATAAAGATTTATTCTAAATTTATGATATTAAATTTTAATGATTAATTGAAAAATAGTATTAAAATTAACTTCATTAAATATTAATTTTATTTTTAAATTTGCTACTCTTGCAAA